TAAAAAAAACCCCGCCGTCTTTGGGTTAAAAAACCCCTTTTTTGGGGTTTTTTAAAAAAAAAAAAAAAAAAAAAAAAAAAAAAAAAACACACACACACACACACACACACACAAAAAAACGATTTGCATCCTGTCCCCTGATATGGTTGTTCAAACCAGCAGTGACAATGTTGTTACATATTAATCACCTTTTTCCTGTCACCGCAGCAGCTATGGCCAACGTAAGCAAACATAATGACAGAAAGAAACCGGATAAATGTTAGTCGCGCTTCCATCCAGATATACAAAAATATACACAAACGTAATAACAATTTTAAAAAATCGAATGATGACTAAATAAAACCTTTTAGTACATTTTTAATTTTAGCTTTGTATTAATGATACCCTTGCCGTCTGAAATGGCAACATCGAGTCAACATTACAACGCGAAGGGAAGCAACGGCTCTTTGTTAGCAGCTAGCACTCAGCTAGTTAGCTGGAGTCGGCTAATCCCTTAACAGGGAAACGACAAACCAGCGATGACTAATTTGCGCGTTGCGTCTTTCTTCAGTTCTGTTCAACACCATAAAACAACCACATAGCTACCTCTAACCCTAATTCTCGTTCAAAGCCATTTACAAACCATTATCAAGAAATAATAGGTCACAAGTTTACCGTGTCGAGGTCCTGTTTCCATCCCGGAGTGATTAACGCCACACCGGATACGTTCACCCGGTGTGAACGTCGGTTGAAAAGGCGGTGACAAAAAGCGCCACTGCTACCCCAGCGATGGAACGTTAGCTAGGCGGGTCTTGCTAATGGCCTAAAAAGGCTGGACCCACCTTCTTAGCAGCGCTTCATTCATTTCAATGTTACGAGGAGCTTTAACAACGCCAACGTTGAACCGTGTATAGCTGATAACATTACAATGACATTGCCCCTGCTTGTTGAGTTTTGCTGTATTGACAGCAAAGCCGAGCTAATGTTTTGAAACCTACCTTCTCTCAGCGCTAGTCAACGCCAGGATCTGAAATGGAAATTCCCATTGTAAAATTGCCTTCAGTTCGTTTGAACAGAACTCACTTACCTCGGTTTAAAACGTAGTGCAAGTATAAATCCCAAATAATACCGAATTGTATTTTTTTTATCGGATCCTTTACACCCAGGTTGTTGAAGGATGAACGTTGTTACTGAGTGCGCATTTGCAAGCTGTGAACTACATCACATTAATTTGCTGCATACACAGTACTCAGCACATAGTTTGAACAGAACAATGTTGTTTGGCTACTTACATTTAATTGTTTCATTTTTTGTTGCCTGTTTCCAATAAGAGGTGCACCTGAATGAACATTCTGATGCCTTCTTTCTAGAAACCAGTAAAATAAAAATAAATAATAAAAAAGGAAGAAGATATCAATCAATTAGAATTTGGCTACATTTTTATTTTATATTCCATATAATAAAAATATAAAATTACTTGCAGAGAAAAATGCTACATCTATTTTATTTAGTTTTTTTTATTATTATTACCTTATCCTCATCTTCTCCATAAGTTTCTTGCTCAGAATTTCCAACGTCGGGTTCACAAAATTATGAACAAAAAAATTAATAACTGTTTTTATCCAAACTACAAACATTTTATGTATGTGTTTATTTTCTGTGTTCTTATTTATTCATATTTGTTTCTAGAGGGGGAAAAAAGACAGAACATTAGTCGTGCAGAAGAAATAGCGCCTCCTATAGCCAGAGTATAAGACAGACACAAAATTAGGTCGATGATATTTGAAAGAACGGGACAAATTTTTCTGTTTTGCTTCTCGAACTAAACTTAAAATTCAACTTAGTTGTTTTTGACAAGAAAAAGATAAAATTGTATTTCAACTTAGTATTTTATTTTTAAAATACTAAAATGAAATAGTCACACATATTCTGTAACCAATTTAGTACAGTATTAGGCAATTATGTTATTTTTAGACGAAAAACGTAAAGAGGACGTTAATGATATAAACGATGATTGATTTGTTCACCACTGGCTTCGAGCTTATTTTTTAAATAACTGAAAATGAAGGATTCTATCAATTTTATGAAATCGTTCGAGATATCTGAATGATAAATTCAAAAGCAAAATTAAACAGCTAATATACATCAACAAGTAAACCATAAAACAGCATTACTTAAAACTAAACGTTTCGCAAGACATGTATTTTGTCGTGGTAAAGTTAAGTAATTTTTTTTAACTAAAATTAGTAAGGTGAGCACTGCCCCCTGGTGGCAAAGCCTATCTGCCTTTAAATATTGAAATAGACAAATAACTACATTAATGTAGTTATTAGTCTACATTAATGTAGACAAATATATATATATATATATATATATATATATATATATATATATATATATATATGTGTGAGTGAGTGTGAGTGTGAGTGTGTGTGTGTGTGTGTAAAGTGATTTACAATTTCATTTATTTTATAGTACAGCAAAGTAACCAAATCAATTATTTATTTGAGTATTTATTTACTTATAGAATCATTGTCTCTTAAAAATTTTGTATTAGTAAAGGAACACTTATACAGTAATGAAATTCACATGTTGTGTAGATTAAATTATCAAATGTTGACGTTTGTTTGATGACCAACAATTACATGTACTCATTATTAATTACGTATGTTTTTTAATTCAATTAACATATCTTTAGTTTATTTTAAATAATTACGTAAAATTTATATTTACATGTATGAGCTATTGCTCTCTTGGATTGTTGCACTTTTGACCCTTGATAGAAATCTGAATATCAACATACAGACATATATAAACAAAACGTTCAGGTTAATTCAAGCTCAGTATCCATTTATGCAGATTTTTATACATATTTATGGTGAAACAACACTAGTCGCTCTGTAAAACAGTTCTAACCTTAACTGATACCTACAGGTCAAAGTGTTAAACTTTGTGCTTCCGAAACAACACCATAACTAGAAAAGACATTGCATTTCCTGCAAAAATGCAGTGTGAATGCTGTAAGCTGAATATTTTTAGTGAAAATTGCAGAAGCATTTGAAGTGAACTGCAGAAGACTTGCAGAAGCAGCAGAATAAAGCAAAAATCTGCTAAGCGCAAATAGAAAACTTGTATAAGAGGAGTGCAAACTTTCAGTCAATGCAAAAATCTCACCCAAAGAGTATTAGAAATGTGTGCAGAACACTGTTTACAAAGCTAATCTGTAAGGTCACAACAGTTTATAACCTAAAATTAGTTAAAAATCTAAAATTAGTTGAAATACTAATGCCAGGCTTTGGATTAGGGCTAGCATCTTGACCTACTGTACACGAAGTGTGAAAAAGCTCATGTAAAAGCTAAAATTTGCTAAAAAAGCTAAAATTAGCTAAACTGATAATGACAGCATTTAGAATAGCACTATAATGCTGACCTACAGTACCATACTCCATACAGTTTGAAAATACCAGAAATGTAATAAGCAGAAACATTAGTTAAAAAGCTAATGTTACCTAAAATACTATCCATTGCATGCTGACCATCACTAGCATGATTGACTAAATTTAGAAGGTTTTAGTAAAATGTAGTTAAAATAATTTCAGATAAAAAATGTTAGCCCTCATGCCATCACTGGAATGTTGACTAAGTAAATTAATTAAAGTAATATGCAAATATTACCTATCAAAATAGGTTTGGAAGGTCAGTTGGAATTAGGGTTAAAATTAATAAGGGTTGGGATTGGAATTAAGGTTGGATGCAGGGCTAAAAATTGGGTTGTATTGAGGGCCAGTATTGGGGTCGGAAGGAGAGTTGGAATTATGGTTGGAATTAAGGATGGAAGGAGGGATGGGATTAAGGTTTGGAAAGAGGGTTGGAATTAGGGTTACATTCATTGAGTGAAGGGCTAAAATAACTGCCAAAGGGAAAACCTTTATTTCTAAAGGTGGTACTTGTGCAATAAAGTTGGAGAAAATTCTCTAGTAACATTTGAGCATGCTGTGTGCCAACCTTTGGTAATGTTTAACAAAACCAACACTAGTAATAGCTCACTGTAGCCTATGCCACAGCCCCGCAAAGACAACAAATATGAATGCGTACCATTTGTCAGAGTCGACAGATAACTCTCTGTTTCACCGGGTGTCCATGTTAGCTACTGTTCAGTCCACATTCATTCCCAAACCACTGTTCTGTCGGGACCGCGCGTTTAAAATTAAAGCGTGGCGAGAAAGGCTCACGTGAACGCGCACAGGGGGCTTGACGTCACTGAGGCGCCCTGGCTCTCCTGAGCCGCTAGTACTGCTGGTAAAAAGATGGGAAAATCAGATAGCCGTTCATCGAAAAATTAACATAAAATGCCAGTTTTTACCACACATGTCCGGATACTAGAAGACTGAGCTCCAGCAGCGATTTGAGCTCCACTAGACAACGAAAAAGGTACTTTGATTGAAGAGGGTTGTCCCCCTCTTTCTTACCTTTAAGCTATTGTGTTAGCGGCAGAAAATAGAGATTTAGCTTGACCACTAAATTTGGGTTGGACTAGCCTCCATATGTCACAGTGAGCTAACACTAGATATGTGCATTTTAGACTTTTGGCTTTTAATAGGCATTTTCTGGGTTCATAGGTTTGTAGTCGAGCCTGAGAATGAAGAAAAGCTGAAAACGAGGAGAAGGAAAATGGATATGGTTAGATGGGTGTCTCCAAAGCAGCCGCTGTATGTTCCGTGTCGTTAAATGTCTCATTCTCCGTTAGAGTATGACATTTTAACATTGCAAGGTAGGACGTCGTCAAATTAAAACATCAGAACCGATTATTTTTTACTTGCTAATATTTCTATTTGGATCAACATTTCTTAGCATGGAAATGATTTTTTTTCCTCCCTTGAACGTCCACCATGGACAATCCCCTTTTTTCCCCTCCCTGCTGCTTTTAACCTAAAGCGTCAGCTCATTGCACAACAATATTCGGATTATTTACATTTATACGATATGCAAAATGTTGAGTAATTACAAACACATGTAGCTTTAATTATAACCAGTTAGAGTAGGTTAAAGGTAGAGTTGTCATGGTTTAGTGTTAATCCCAGCAGGGCTACACCGAGGTTACACAATTAAAATTACAGCTGACTATGTCCCTAACGGGCCTTATTTCTTGTTAGATCAGAAACTAATCATGTAACCCAGATTTTAATTAATGAGTTAGCTGATTACACATTTTATTTTTACACTTATTCACATATTAGACCTTAAAATCACTGCTAAAGACATTTTCTTTATGTTGTCAGTGTAGTGGTATATGGTGGGGGAACATTGAAATGTAGGCACAAGGTTAGTGTTTCTGAGTGACTTTGTAATCTATAAATGTATTTTATAATTTGTACTGAAATCTAAAGTCTCTATAACAGACCTGCACAGTCCATCCATCCATCCATCCATCCATTTTCTGAACACCCTTGTCCCTCAGTGGGGTCGGGAGACCTGCACAGTATTAAGCATAATTTTTCCATGATTATATCAGCTGAGATAAACGCCCACCACTTCAAATATATGTGTAAATATGATTATTCTACATGATAAAAGTAAGAAGATTGATATTGTTATATTTCTGTCTGAATTAGGCATGTCAAGTAGAATAAATGGGGAAAGTACCAAAAGTTTTTTTTTTTTTTTATGTATTAAAGGTTACATGAATATCAATATGACAACAAATCAATGCTTGGGTCTTACTGCGATCTTAACTTTATATTTATATCTCATTGGTTTTATTTAAAAATGTCACTTTTTGGTGTTGATGTGCAGTTTATCAGAAGTGGTTGTTTTCTGTTTGCAGATTTATTTGTAACTCTGGGAAAGTCTTGTCACATCTTCAGTCCCTAAAGTAAAGAGGAGCAGGCTTTATCTTTTCTTTTTTTATAAATATCATGAATATTGTGTCCAGCACCTGCAGTTGAAGCGGCATCATCACTCGACTGTTTCAAGGCAGCGCCACAAGATCCGAGAGGATTTACCTACATCTGTTAGTCTGTTGGCTCCTTCGCTTGTTAGCAGAAGATGTACGGTAGCGCCCGCTCTGTTGGCAGAGGAGATGCCAAAAACGGTGGGGGAAGAGACGGAGGCGGCGGCGGTGGCAGTCAGGGATCCGGCCGCTCACCACGCCTCCCTCGATCTCCTCGGATGGGACACCGACGCACCAACAGCACCGGTGGCAGCGGAGGAGGTCCTGGAGGAGCGGGCGGGAAAACTCTCTCCATGGAGAACATCCAGTCCCTCAATGCTGCGTATGCCACCTCAGGACCCATGTACCTGAGTGACAACGAGGTCGCCATGGCGGGCGACCACGTACCCAAAAGTGGTGTGACGGTGACCGCCGCCGGGCGACAAAGGGTGACATACGGATCGCGAGGAAGCAGCGGTGGAGTCGTGGCTGCAAGCACTCCCAATATCTCCACCATGGTGCCTGCTAACGCAGTTCTGCCAGCAGGCATGATGGCAGGGGACGCGCTGGCGTTCGGGGAGCACCACATGGCCTCCACAGTGCCACACTCTCTAAGGCAGGCCAGAGACAACACCATACTCGACCTGCAGGCCCAACTGAAAGAGGTATTTCATAGGACTGGAACCATTAATCATAATTGATGGATTATGATCCATCAATTATGACTTTGTAATCTATAAATGTCCCTAATTTAATAATCAATTAATATACAGACAGAAAAAAATAACATATTCAGATCAGTAATTAATCCAAAACTGTAAAAAAAAAAAAAAGAAAATCATATATGGCAAAAACATATTTGTTCTACCCAGACCTCCTCAAAAGTCGTAGTTTTAGCTTCTTATTGTATTGCATTTTAGGCGATAAAATGTTCATTTTCTTTTAGAAGTTTTTGTCTTATTTACATATTTTAATGAATTTCTAATATTGTATAAAAAAGACTCAAGTGGTTAAATGAAAAATCTGCCTTTTTTTTTTTATTCCATTAATCATCTCAATAATCGATTTCCGAACGAATTGTTAGTTACAGAGTTCTTCTGCCAGTTTTGCAGATTTCTTCCCTCAAGAACAACAGATATCTGGATGAGCTTTATCACCTCACTCTGTTCTGTCAGGTTCTGCGTGAGAACGAGTTGTTGCGGCGAGAAGTGGAAGTGAAGGAGAGCAAGCTGAGTTCCTCCATGAACTCCATCAAAACCTTCTGGAGCCCGGAGCTGAAAAAGGAGCGAGCCCTCAGGAAAGACGAAGCTTCCAAGATCGCCGTTTGGAAGGAGCAGTATCGCGTTATTCAGGATGAAGCACAGGTGAGCGTTTCAGTCTCTGATCTCAAGTTAGTTTTCTCTGCATCAAATCATCACATTGTAAGATAGGGGTGGGGGGCGAACATATTCCAGTCATTGTTCCGGCTTTCATTTTCATTATTCTCTCCATGTATATGTTTAAAAGCTGGTTTTGAACATCTAGTTAATCCTCTTACGTGCAGCTATATGCTCATGCTTTGTAGATGAAAGGGGTGTAAATTTTAATGGTGCATTAGCATTTTCGTGTGCTTTGGAAAGTGCTGGAAGTGGTGAGCATAATAAAATGTAGCATTAAGGCCTATTTAACGTGTGTGTGTGTGTGTGTGTTGTAGTGGTAGTCACAGATGCAGTTGTGTGGATTTAGGACTTTAGATGCCTGCATTGTGTTGAATAAGATGTTTTTGCTCTGAGTTATGGGATGTTTTGATCACAGCTGGTCGGATCATGCAAAGTCTAAGAACACAAGCAGAGAAAACGCAGAAAATGAATCTATATTAAAAACAGCCTGGCTGCTTTCTGCCATCTATAAATGGATGTTGACGCTTTAAGTTCTGCCTTAAGAATATTTTTCGCTACCCATTTAATGGCAGGTGTGAGATTCTTACATGATGTTGGCTTTGGGTAAAATGAAACTACTGCTTCATTATATTTACACAAAATTTAAAACAAAAATCCAAAACATGATTGATATCAATTATTTGCCACAGAATGCTATCATATTGTATACTACACTCATGATATTTATAAGGTTTGTTTTTCTTCAGTATAAGGGGAAAATAAAGTATAAAACTTGGATAAGTTTTGTAGTTTTGCTCAAATTCTTAAAGGCCAGAGTATGTATTTTTTAAAATCTTCACTGGAAATATTTCGCCAATAAATCGGCCCTGATTTCCTTAATTTTGGGCGATCAGCCGATACTTGCATCTGAAACCGATCGAATCCACTGAACTTATCTACTTCCAAAAAACGCCTGAAATCAGCCGCTGTCCTCTTTTTGAGAGAAAGCTGGCTGACAGGCTGACCCGTCCACAAAGTGACGCCTGTATGTGTACGATTAACAATCATCACCCAGCTGTTGCCAACTTGGCAACTTTGTTGCTATGATTAGTAACTTTTCAGACAAAAGAAATCTGCATTAGTCAAAATTGGATTTGGTAGGTGAGGTTTTGTGAAAATCGTTGATCTGCCAGAAAACTGCAATCGGTGCACCCTTAGTTTTCAAACAGCTGACTTAGTTTTTCTTTTAAAACTGAGAGAAAATGGTAGCAGCCTTCTTTTATTCATCTGATGGTCTGCAGCAACAGGTCGGGGAGGGGCAGTGCTTCATCGGGCAGGAATAAAAGCGGATAGTGACACTTTTATCTCCTATGAATATCTCATTAAAAATACTTTACGCATTGTACGACATTTGTGTCTTTTAAAACTGAAACCTTTTCAAACTTTGATGTACGCTTCGTAGCAGACAACCGTACCGCACCAAGCTGCGACTAAAACCGTAGATGTATAACTTTAGTAATGTGCGTTGTGCTGAATATGATGTATTGATCCCAGCTGGTGGGATCTTTTACATCTTTTCTCAGATGTGTAGTGTGGGTGTACCTTTCCTCTGGCTTACAGTCTTTTTAATGAGACAATACAGGAAGTGTCAAAGCAAGTGGAGTTCACTCTGGCTATGTGAAGCCCAGAGGAGCACAGTGCTGCTCCGCGCTGCTAGTCAGCTGGCTTAAAGGCTGCACCTGCATCTTTCCTTAAACTCCAGTAAATGTAATTTTACAACTATGAATACAGTCATGTTATAGAAATGAAAGGAGCACCACCCATTCCTCATATGAAGATCACACAGTTTTACAACTACATTTGATAACTTATGAGTGGTTGTCTGTTATTTAGCTAATAGCAGCTCATCAGTTATACTATAAAGAGCAGAACAAAAAATATTTTCTTCGCTAACCAACTAAACACTGCTAGTTACATTTCTTTCTTTCCTGTTTTTAAAATCATTACACAATCAATGCTTTATAGACTATTATAATTGTGCGAATCAGTATTGTGTAACATTTTAGCAGCAGTACTGTTGCTTTCTAAAAAAATAAATAAATAAAATTAGTCTTTGGAAAAATTTTGTGTAAGAATCCTGATCCCTAAAAATGTAATATTTTCAGTATGTGGTAGTAATTTTATGTCAGCCAGAGTGACGTATTTAATAATGCCAACTCAATAAACACATTTGAAGCCTTTCCAAAAAGCCATTGTTGTTGTCACGATTGTGGGAATTAGGTTTCATTAACAAAGACAAATCGTCTTTGTTTAACTGTGACTGTTAATGGATGGGCCGGCCTCCTGTGTAATTCGCTGTTTTCGCCCCTGCTGACTCACAGAATCCCGCTCCAGACTAATTCCCAGTTCTGCCCGAGCAGCGCAGGGCTAATCAGCGGGTGCTTTAATTTAAAGATGTCAGCTTTCATACGTCTGCCTCCGCCTCCCACGCTGGCATGCACGGAGACACAAAAAGGCATGGACACTGATTACGGCTTTGTGGTAAACTGCAGGCGTCGTCCTGGAAGGAGGCCCGACTGAATGAGCATATTTGCAGTTTCATGTTTGCTGCTTGTGTGCGATTCTTCCTCTCTTTCGCGGTTACTTGTGTTTATTTGAGTACTTAATTTCATCCAAATCGTGTTTTGCTTTCTCTGGCAAAGTAGCAAATATAACTTGGTGTTAAGATGAGTTTAGGTGGTGTGTGTGTGTGTGTGTGTGTTTTCTCTCAGACACCTGACTGTTTTCTCCCCTCAGGCAGTGAGGGTGAGAATATGGGGGCTGAGGAAGGAAGAAGGTGTGTGTGTGTCTGTGTGCGTGTAGGTATATCAGTGAGAGAAGCAGGGCGGTGGTGGCTCGGTGCAGTGAGTCAGCCTTAGTCACGGGGCGTAGAGGGTGATGGAAAAGGGATGGCTGGTGAGAGGATCGGCAGGAGGAGAAGGGAGAGTGTGTGGAAGGTGGTTGGACAGCGAGTCGGGAGTAGAGCGATGTGCGCTGGTGGAGGGTAAAGGACGGATTGACAAAGGAAGGGAACAGGGAGGGGTCAGGACGACGGAGAGAAATGAAGCCAGACACCGACTTCTCTTTTTGTTCGGTCTTCTGAAAAACGCTCGCAGCTGGTTCAGACCGGAGCGTAACACAGCCTCGTGTTACGGCCTCGCAGCAGCTCTGCCAAGTGCCGTGGCGTCAGATGCTGCAAACAATGCAACACTACACTGGGCCGATTGTGTTTCACCACTTGTGTTTCTCAGGGCAAGAAATGCAACACTGTCCACAGAGCGAGATCCAGAAAGAGGAATCGGTCAAGACAGGGGGCTAAACGTATGATAAAAGCCGTTTTTTAAACAGAATTTGACACAATCGTATTGCCATGGTAACCGGTACCGCTCCTCCTGCTCATTGACATCTGGCACCAGAACCCGTGCATGGAGTTGGTGTAGAAAATGAGATGGAAATTACCATGTCTTTACATGATCGTGTTAGTTTAGTTTATTTCACAGTTAAAATACAGATCAACGATATTAAGACAAAAAAAATAAACTGTTCAGGAAAAGCAAAAGCAAAATGGAAAAATACATAATGTGACCCAAGTATACAATCCTTATCAGTTGATTTCTAAATGTATATAGAAAAAAATCATAATTATTATTTAAGTACAGCTACAAATAACATTGAAACTATTTTTAAAGAATGCCTTTTACCAAGTGTGAAAAGTTATTTTGAACTTTGCACAATGTTCTGTCATCTCAATCTTTTATATTTTATAAATGCCTACATAAAAAAACAACACTAAATTATCCTTTTGAATGTTATTCTATGGGACACTGTGGTAATCTCTCCCTGCCAGCTAAGAAAGGTTGGTGGCATCAACTAACTCTCTCACTCTTGGTTACCTAGCAGCTAACGCTCTCTGTGGTTGCCTGGCAACAACCTGTTGAGTAACTGGTGCGGTAGCAGTTTTAGGTTTCGCTCTGTGCTTCATAACTGCTTAAAAATAAACAACGATAGCAAGTGAAAACTTTGGATAAAAAAGGAAGGGTCAAGCCACCAGTTCAGATATTTAAAACAAAAAACTAATCAGTAACAACAATTATTGATATTGACGGATATGAAACGCTTATCGTGATATGTTTTCCAGTCATATCGCCCAGTTCTAGCTGTAGTTTGAGTAATTATTGTTTTTTGAGTAACAATTGAATAATATGAAATGTTTTTGTTTTAA